TCCCGTACAGCAGACCTAGTCTGATTTCTATCTGCTACACCCGGCTTCGCTTCTTCTTCTTGTTTCCTACTGGTGGATGGTTTTGGGCGCAGTACAGCCACCTTCTGCCCTGGAGTGAACACACTTCCCTATGAGAAAAAGGAGCAGCGCATGAACCGAACGCAACACACGCCAATCGAACCGAGACAGTCGAACCCAACGGTTCGGACAGTTTTCATAAACCGTTCCATCCCTAATAGCGATCTGACCTCCCTCTGTTTTCTGTGAATGTCCACCTCTCTGACCCCGTACTGACTCTATTCTCCCTCCCCAGGCAGCTCCACACCCCCACCAACCTGCTGCTCCTCTCCCTGGCCGTCTCCGACCTCCTGGTGGGCCTCCTGCTGATGCCGGTCGAGATCGTCTACATCGAGATCTGCTGGTTCCTGGGGGACTGGGTGTGCACGCTGTACTACACCCTGGACTACGTCATCACCTCGGCCTCCGTGGTCAACATGGTCCCTGGACCGCTACGTGGCCGTCTGCGACCCCCTGCGGTACCCCTCCAGGGTGACCACAGGCACGGCCAGGCTGGGCGTGTGCCTGTGCTGGTTTTCCTCCATGGTCTTCAGGCTGCTGCTGCTCCAGGATCACATTGCGGAGCCCGGCCGGTCCAGCTCCTGCCTGGGGGAGTGCGTGGTGGTCATCAACCCCAACGCCGGGTGTGGAAGTCATCTCGTACTTTTACTTTGAGTGGTGGTAATTCTGTTGATTTGTTTGTTTATTATGAATTTGTTTACATTAGTGATAGTTTCATATTTTGGTAATATTCTTTTTGTAATTCGTCTAGTTAATTATTTTGCTTTATGTTTAGTCTTTATTTGTTAAATTTATTAATTGTAGTATTAGGTTTTAGACACCTGGGGGTAGTGGTGCGCACAGGTAAGGGTGGATATAGGTAGGAAGTGGCACTACACCTGTATGCACCTGGGTAGTGGACACATGGTTTTTTTTACCAGCGCAAGAGATTTGTTTGCTCACCTGAAACAACAATAAACAATTCTGCGTGGAACTTAAATCATTTTCTTGCCTGCGTACGATGCCTGCCCAGGGTGCCAGAAGTTGTCGTTTGTTTTATTTTAAGTTTAATTTAATTTTTGTTACAAGTTTGTTAGACAAACGGCTACTACACCGGGGTGGTGGACACGGTCTTCACCTTCATCCTGCCCATCGCCGTCATCTTGGTGCTGTACGGTCGGGTGTTTTCGGCGGTTCTGGCCCAGGCCCGGACGCTGCGATCTCGGGTGGCCGCCATCGGTCCTCGCCATCCGGGGGCCGCCGCCGCCGTGAGGAGGAGCGAGCTGAAGGCGGCCCACACTCTGGGCATCGTGGTGGTGGTGTTCCTCATCTGCTTCTGCCCGTATTACTTCCCGGCCCTGGAGGGGGAACACATCTCGGTGGACGCCTCGTCCGCCGCCTTCGAGATCTGGCTGGCCCACTTCAACCAACTTTTGCCGCTCAACCGAAATCAACAACAAGGACTTTATGGTGGACACAGAGGACACATGTTCCTGTATAGGTAAAGAAGAATCCACTCCAAGCCTCACAGACCAAAAACATCCACTGATCGTTCAGTAATCTTAGTGGACTGATGCTTTCACTGACTCCCTGTGAGACTGAGCCTGTCCACTCCTGAGTCAGACTCAGATAAGTTAGTCCCTCCTATGAGGATTGAAGAGAAGAAGCAGTGACAAATGAAAAAACATGGTCCTCAACATTTGAGTGATATATATGAGCCGTACACAGCCTCGTAGCTTGAGCATGAGAGAACATCAGCAGCTGTTTCTCATTTCTAAAAGAGTCTCCTGTAGTAACACAATGTCAGCCTGCTGTTCCTTTCACCCATTGTGAATGTGTAAGCTCTTCTCCTGGATCCAGCCACACCCATATTCCATGACCTCATATAGTTTGTACTGACAGTAAGTTCTTATCAGAATATGAATTAATGTTTGTTATTTCTCCAGGACAACTGAGGGCTGAAATTAAAATGGAAGTGTGTCTAAAGTCTTTTTCCACAGTCCTGCTGCCTCCCGGATGTTAACATCACGTATCATCTGTATTTCTGCTTATTCTGCATCACATAAAACAAATTATACATGAAATAAAGAGAAAGAGGGGGTACATTTCCTCCTGCTGAAATCCACCAGCAGCTCTGTGATGGAGGGCCGCTAAGCGTCCATCACAGACTCCACGTATCCGTGCTCCCTCTGGTCCAGGGGAGCGCGGTGCCAGGAGCGCATCTGTAACCCACAGGTCTGTGTAAACTTTAGTTGTTATAAGAGTAAATCCCTGTTCAACATGAGTCTGACAACTAAGTAAGAAGATAAATAAATTTCAACTTTAATACAAAAAGCTGGATCGGGACATCCCTACTGTATTTCTACATAATAAGATGATTTCTATAACCATAAAATAGTTATTGAGGGGTGAATGGATTCAGACGGAGCACTACTGAAGGCCTAGGTGTGAAATGCACGGTCCGCCACTGACCAACAAGGACGAACCACATCCAACAGGATTAACAGTGGACGCAAGAGGAAGCTGTCTGAAAGGGATGTTCGGGTGCTAACCCGGATTGTATCCAAAAAACATAAAACCACGGCTGCCCAAATCAC